CCACTAACGTGTTTTGTGTCCAGAATAAGACCTATGCTATTTCATCATACATCTTTCTCATAGTTTCTTTACTCTTTCTTTTTTTCTTTTTTTTTTTTTTTCCAAGTGAGAAAACTGCTCTGATTTCTGAATATTGTCTAGATTCTCTTGCCACAAAAATAAATGTGTTGGATGTGTAGGGTGAAAGCTCCAGCCATATAAGGCGGTTGGTTCTTTCACCCCCTTCCCTGGATCATAGAAGGAGAGGGACAGAAGTGGCTTGGGCACTGTGAGATTAGACATAGACACTTTTGTCTATTTGACAAATAAATCAAATGCATTTTTGTTTCTAATATGCAGGGCCTGAGCTAGCAGCTGTCTGTGCTTCCCAGCTGTCAAGGACCTCCTTACCTGTATGGAATTGACATCTGCTCTTTTGGATAGCCCCAAATAAAACATGAGGCAGGACAAGCACACATTCCTAGTAGAGCCATACGATCCTGCAGAATGGTTCTGGGATGTGCTGCTCATTCCCTGCATCTTTTTGTCTGAGGGTAATTACCAGGTGGCATATGCGTGTTTAGGAAGAACCAGTTCATACCATATGCATTAGTAGTATGTGTGACTCCAGTATTTCTCTGTCTCAGATTATGTCCAGTTGACTGGTTATTACTTATGGTTTGAGAATTTCGAATGAGGTCGGGGTATCTGTCATTTTTTGCATATAATACATATTGCAGTGTCCTAGAGGTTAGGCAGGCATACAGCTCAGCTTGCATGGGGTGTGTGTGAGAGAGAGGAAGGTGAAAAAAAATAGTGAGACCCATCCTCATAATCTAGGAGCTTTGCTGTCCCCAGAAGTGACATTGCCTCCTCCTTCGCAGTCCACCACACTCACTTGTGTTCTGAAAGTTGCACAGAAAATGCATTCTGTAAGCCACAGTGCTCCAGCACATCAATGCCAACGTGAAGTGCATCAAACCAGCTGGGACAGGGAGCTGTTCTGCACAACAGCCTGCTTGGGCCTTGGCTGCCCTTCATCTGGCTGCCATCTTCATAACCCTTACTGCCCTCGCTTCTGGGGAGGCACCTTGAGTCCACCACAAAGTGCCCGGGGTCTGGCTGTTACAGCTAATAGAATGCTATCTACGTTACGCTGTGTCGACATAGTTATCATCGTGGTGGGGACAGAGTGTTTGACATTTGGTTTACTGAAAGTGTCTCCTGGGGCTTTTCTCCACATTGAGCGAGTTATTACCTCGCTTGCATGTTTTACTGATTCTTTGGTGGCAGCAGCTGCTGCTGCTTATTGTCTGACTGCGGGAACTTATTTCTTACATTAAGTTTATTAGTCACTTTGGAGGCCCGCCATACTTTCTGTTAATGGCATTTTAGTCTCTTAGCTCCTGGTGTTGGTTTCGCTGTGTAGAGTGAGACTGTTCATTGATATGTTCACACGCCAGCAAGTGTGCCTGAGGGTCACGTCCTGTGGGCAGCCATATCCCATTCTGCCAAGATCAGGCTGCCAAGCAAACCCTGGACCCCTGGACATGGATGGGGTCAGAGCCAGGCTGGGCAGGTTCTGTTCCTAGTTCTGCTGCTGGCTTCGTGGATGACCTTCAGCAGGTCACTCTGTGTTCTGTGACTCATTCCCCTCCTGAGCAACAGAGGTGAGGAGTGCCTGTAAAAACCAATGGTTTAGTAATAGGGGGGTTATTGTTGTTATTATTATTGTTATTATTTCATTTTTTAGCATACGTAGGAAAGCTTTTGCTTCAGACAAGAGTCAGATACACAAAGAGAAGCCTGAGCTTTCCTCCTTGTTTGCCAAAATGCCTGCTGGTTACCTCTAACACAAAGAACCTCCTTTACCTTTGCCTATTGCACAGGCATTACGGTTTTCCTTAAAGAGTTTCTCTGCAGCTTCCTCCCCACGGGATGTGCTTTGGCATTGTTTAGTCCTAAAGTTGAGCTTAAATTTCCCTCTGATGAAACTTAGGCCCATTAGCTTTAGGAACATATTCTTGCTTCCTCTTTGCAGCAGCCCTTCCACATTTGGGTGGGCATTCTTGCTTTGCACACTGAAAATCTGGGAATTCTTTAGCTTAGCTTCCTTCCCTGCCTCTCTAGTTTACACCATTTGTGTTTGCATCCAGACATAAAACATATAAAATGTTGGAGTGGCCAGTGTCTGAAATGAGCCCTCTCTAGGTGTTTTGGTTCAACTCTCCCAAAATGATGTCTATTACTATCAGTCATTTTTTTGAAAATCATAGCCACTCTCTAGGCATCACTTCACATCCCTTATAAAATATCCCTGCACTTGCCATGGGCTATAATACCTCTAGCAGCACACAGCCCTACTGAACAAGGCAAGAAGAATTCAACATCTGCTTTAAACTGCAGGTGAATTGAAAAGAAAGGACCAGGCCTGTACGCATGAGAGGGAAGCAGTAATGATAACAGCTTTCCTTTGTGACAGAAGAAGGTAATTCTATTGTTTGCAAGTGTGAATTACTAGATTGAAAATGCAAGTGTACACTTCACAGTGATGTGATCATCCTGAGCCTTTTTTTGTTGTTGTTGTTTTTTTTTCTGGTCAGGCACTGAAAAGACATGACCCCAAAATAAATGCACATCTGAACAACAGGGTGCTCTGCACTGTAGTGTGAGAAATTTTAGTGTCAGTGGGCTGTATATAAAAAAAGAGTTGTAGAACCAGAGCTGGCAGAACAGTCCCCTTAAGTTTCTAATAGTGGTAGGAACTGCTGGCACTCACCTGAAGGTCCCTGTGTGCTGTGCCATGGCTGTGGAACACCCAGGACTTCTGGGGATCAACTTTATCAGTTTCCCCTGCTGCTGGGGAAACAAAGAGCAAATGTGTGTGAGGAGAAGCAGCCCGAGCGCTGCATGGAGAAGGGGATGAACAGTCACTTCAGAATTGGTTTACAGCCTGAATTTGAGAAAAGAAATGTAGAAATATAATAACTGCCTTTGTCAACATCACTGCCACTTTCTTTCTTATTCTTGCTGCTGGTTGGAATAATAGCATTCGTGCAGGCAATTAATCTTCCACTTGCCAGTTTTTCATGCACCCTACGCATGGGCATGGCTGTTTAACCTTGTGCTGACATATATTATGTTGTAATGTGTGGGACACTGGTGGCCTCGAGCCCTCCTCTATTTTAACCCCTCTTTGGTAGTATTTTAAAACATACACTGGAAAGTGATTTTTATGGTTATCTTGGGGTATATGTTTATAGACTTAAATACATTTATGGTCCTCTCGGGCCAAGGTTTTTCTAATCGGTCCAAGGTCATTGCTGTGTAAATGGGCCTGGCCTAAAGCAAGGAACCTGAAGGCAAAAGCTTCAATGTAAGCATGCTGTGGTGATTGTCCAGAGGAGAGGGTAGCTGTCTGGGACAGGAATTACCCAGGATTGGAACAGGGTTGATCTCTCTCTGGTTGTGATTTTGCCTGGGTTTGAGGGTGGTGTCATGTGGGTGCCACTTCTTGGACTTGCCTTGAAATACGCTTCATGACCTAGAGTGCTTGGCTGATCCCATTGCTGCAGTATCAGGTGTAGTGTAATCTTTAATATAGTCAACCTTCAGTACCACCACGTGCAACGGAGTTGGGAAGATGCCAGCCTTCTCTGGTTTACACCCTGGGAAATGAGGCACAGAGAAATGATAGCCCATATCTCCAAAGGCATTTGGATCCAGAAATCCATGAGTCAAGAGCCTCGGTGACTTGCCAAAGGTGACGCAGCAGGTCTGGGCAAGAGCTGTAGCTGCACCCAGATCTTCTGTGCAGTCCCCTTCAGCTGGCCTGGCTCTGAACAGCCTCATGTGCATTTGCAGAAAGCTCCTGTGCTAGGTAGATGTATTTCTTTATGGTCAAACTGTGGCTAGAGATTCCAGCTGAAGGCCTGCGGGTCCGTGGACGAGTGAGCATCGTGCATAGTTGCGGTATCTGCAGGAGTGGATCCTGTAAGCAGCCTACTTGTGACAAGGTCAGGTGAAGTCTGTGTTCCTGGGAAGAGCTGTGTGTGGATTTTGGTTTCGTTATATCTCTCTGTCAGCTTTGATATATAAATCTTTAGATCTCTGCACTGTACGTGTGTGTGGAACAGAGACTAAACACAGACACTTTTAAAAAGAAGGCATAATATCAAATTACTGCTAAGTTTGATGAACATCAT